CTGGCTGGCTGGCTGGCTGGCTTGCTGCTGCTGAGTGCTGCTGCTTGCTTCCGAAAGCTGTAATGGGGGTCTCCTCGGACGAATATAATTCGGACTTCTTCTGTATTATGTGAGGCTTTGGGCTACCTTAGAGCTGGGCTGGGCCTTCGGGAGAGAAAGGGGCTGCGGGGGAGGGGGGGGGGCGGCGTCTTTCGCCGCCACGGGAAGACACTGAGCCGCCTAGGATCAGTATCAGGGCCAAGGCTGGAGATTGATAAGCGCATGTACGCCTTGATTTCAACGATTTTGGGTGGCCCAGAATAGGGTCCAGCTGAAAGGGGGTGGTGCAACAGATTTTGGGCAATTGTATTGCAAATGTACTGCGCCGGAGAATTCTATTGCATTGTCTTGCAAGTAATGCGTGACACGCGAAAATACGGCAATACATGTGCACCCCGAAATGTATGGCACGCCCAAGATGTATTGCAACCCCACAAATATGTTACACCAAATATATTGCACCACCCCCTTGGCGCTGGACCCCCTTTTGGGTCAACCCGAGAAGAAAGATATAGACATACAAACTCGGAGGTCCGCGCGGATTTCTCGGGTCGGCGCTGGACCCCCCTCCCTGGCGCGCGGAGCGCGCTCGGGGCGGCGCCGGAGGCGCCGCCAGGGGGCCCCAGCGCGGATCCCGGAAATGTCGCGCGGACCTCCGAGCTGTTATTTCTGTGTCATTGTTCGCTCCCCTATTCGGGTCGGGCGAAAGGGGGGGATAGCAAAGGGGGGGTTTGAGAATCAGCTCGCGTAGCTGATTTTCCTGGCGCCTCCCGGCGCCGGAGGCGGCTATGTATCGAGGAATGGGCCCCTCGGCGGGGCCGAAACCAGCTGCATGCAGCAAATTTCGTAACCCCCCCTTTCCCAATCCCCCCCTTTCGCCCAGCCCGACCTATGGGTGTCGCTGGACCCCCTTCGGGGCCAACCCGAGCGAGGCTCCACCGCGGCCGCGACCGCCCGCGGAGGTCGGAGGAGGCCCGCGGGCTGCGCAGGCTCGGAGGAGGGCAGACGGCGCTGCGGAGAGCGGGCCCCGGGCGCCCTGCGGCTCCGAAGCACTTTTGGTAGGTGGATCTTGAAGGGGCCCCAGGACACACAAATAAATACACACAAATAAAATGGTTCCCCATATTTTCCATTTTTTTTTTTTTTTTTTGAGTTTTTGTCTTCCCCCCCCCCCATTTCCCATATTTTCCTATATTTTCCTGGGAGTGGACGATTAATTGTGTCTGTGTGTTTTTTCCCCTCCTGAGATCTCCCAAGCTCCCCGCCGCCTCTGGCGGTGTGCGTCGCGAGCAAGAAAAAAGCAAAGCAACAGGAAAGCGCGGCTTGACAGTGTAGCTCCTCACTCTCAGGGGAGACTTCCGACGGGTCGCCGAGACAGACTGGAGCCGTTCCAGCGAGCGACGGGAAGCAAAAAAAAGAGGCGGCATGGTGCCGAATTTCCGAGTGGCCGGCGCGGTCCCCGAACTCTTCAAGGAATCTTCCATCCGAAGCCTCATGGAGACAGTTATTTACAGCCTGATTTGGACTTCTTGGGGGCATCAGGGCATCTTGGGGACCTGCTGGCGGCCTCGGGGGTCATCTTGGGACGGACAGCGTAGAATGTCAGGTCGAGTTCCCCTTCTTGCGGCCCTCTTGGGCCGTCTTGGGGGCCGCCTGGGCGGTCGTGGAGCCCTCTTGGGTCGTCTGGGGGCTGGGTCGTGCTTGGGCGATCTTGGAATCTCCTTGGGCCGTCGCGGAGCGTCGGCAGCCCAGCAAAGCGAGAAGACCCAAATCGGTGGATGGTTTGATGAGATCTACGGTGAGATCGACTGCGTGAGATGAGTAGTGAGATCCATCATGAGTTCGATAAGGAATTGTGGGATCGATAAAAAATCGATAAGGAGATCGACCAGGAACCTGGGAGCCCAGGAACCCGGAACCCACCGAAATCGGACCAGAACCAATAACCAGGAATCCAAGGACCTGGAAGCGGGAACCCAGGAACCCAGCCGGCTACCGAAATCGGCGGGAAACTTTCGCCAAATCTTTCAATTTCCGCTCGGACCCCTTCAGTACAAGCTCTGATTGGGGAATATCCGCTAGGACCCCTTCAGTGCAAGCACTGATTGGGGAAAAGACGGACGCAAATGAGTGATTGTGGCCTCTCGGGGCCCTCTTGGGGGGCCCCTTGGGGGGCCTCTTGGGCCGTCTTGGTGCCCTGTTGGGCCGTTTGAAGGCCATGTTGGCGACATCTTAGGCCGTCTGGAGGCGTCCAGGGGCCATCCTGAACCGTCTCGGAGCCCGCCAAGGCTCGCCCGGGCCCGCCAGGGGCTAATTCTAGGTCGGGCAAGGCGGATGTTGAAAGAAACTTTAAACATAGCTTCAAACACGCTCAAAAGTAAAAATATGCAGACATACTCAACACAAATGTCCCCAAACTACGTTTGACTGTGTTTGGATACTCTTCCTGTAGAGTGACAGGCCCGACTCGAGGCTATGTTGGCGACTTGATGCTGGCCCCCTTCTGGCACTGGCTGACGCTGGCCACATGGGAAGTATCCACGGTAGGCATGTCGAAGTGTCGGCACCGAACGCGCAGATGTCGCCGACGCGAGCAGAAGCAGGAGCGCGAGAGCGGTACCAGACAGAGGACGGGCGGAGGCTCCCAAAGGCAGAGGAGGAGGGGAAGGCGGAAGAGAACAGATGAATGGGAAGGGGAGCTTTCCGAGTCCTCGCTGGGGACTTGGGGCCTCCTCTGGAGCGTCTGCTGTGGATGTCCCCCCACGTCACCCCCCATCGGCGGGGGGGGGGGGGAAGTTTGCTGGTATGTGCAGCGAGGAGAGGCGAGGAGAGGAAGGGAGAGGAGAGTTGAGGAGAGGAGAGAAGAGGAGAGGAGGGCGAGGGGGAGGGAGGAGAGGAGAAAGAGGATAGTAGAAGGGAGAGGAGGAAGGAGGAAAAGGAAAGGATAAAGAGAAGGAGGAGTGAGTGGAGAAAGAGGGAGAGGAGAAAGAGAAGAAGTAAAAGGGGGAAAGAAAAGAGGGTGAGGGGAAGGGAAGCGACCAGGAGGAGGAGGAGGAGGAGCAGGAGAAGAAGGAGGAGCAGCACCGGAGGAGGAGGAGGAGGAAAGGGAGCAGGAGGAGGAGGAGGCTGGGGGTGGAGGCACCCGGAGGAGAAGGAGGAGGAGGGGGAGGAGGAAAAGGAGGAGGAGAGGAGAGAGGAAGGAGGAGGAGGACGAGGAGGAAGAGAAGAGAAGCGTGCAGAACAATGAGAGGGCTTTCTGAAACCGGAGACGGGCGCTGGGGCTGGAGGCTCTTCTTGGAGCTCCTTGGCAACGATCGGGTTCTCTCGGGGGGCTATGGGGCCCCTGGGCTTGGCCTGGGGCCTCTGTGGGGTCGGGGGGCGCTCTGTGTGGGCCTCCACGTCGCCCCTGGCCAGCCGTGGGGAGTGACGGAGACCTGCTATGTGTGTGAGTGTACCAGTGTCTCTCTAAGTGTGTTCGTGTATGCGTCTGTGTGCTTGTGTGTGCCTGTATGTATAAGTGTGTGTAAGTGTGTGTGTGTGTGGAAGTGTGTGAAGTGTGTGTCTGTGTAAGCTCGTGTGTATATATAAGTTTGTAAGTGTGTGTGTTAGTGTGTGTGTGTCCAGAGTGTGTAAGTGTTTGTATGATGGTGTGCAAGTGTGTAGATATGTATATGTGTGTATGCGAGTGTGTGCAAGTGTGTCTGTATGTAAGTTGTGAGTGTGTGCAGGTGTGCGTGTGTGTGAGTGCGCGTGTGAGTGTGAATGTGTGTATGTGTAAGGATGTGTGTAAGTGTGTGCGTAAGTGTGTGTAAGTGTGTGTATGCAAGTGTGTGAATGTGAGAAGATGTGTGTATTGTGTGAAAGTGTGTGTACGTCCGTGTGCACATGTGTGTGCACGAATGTGTGCGAATAAGTGTGTGCCCGTGTGTGTTGCACTGTATGTGTAAGTGTATGTGTGTACGTGTGTAACTGTGTGTAAGTGCGTGTGTGTAAGTCTGTAAGCGTGTGTAAGTGTGTGTGTGAGTGTGATACTGGGTAAGTGTGTGTGTGTGTGTGTAAGTTTGAGTGTGCGCGAAACTGTTCGCAAGTGTGTAAGAGCGTGTGTGTGAAAAGTGTGTAGATGTGTGTAAGGGTGTGTACGTGTATGTATACGTGTACGTGTGTGGCAGCGTCTACATGTGTGTGCAAGCGTGGGTGCGTGTGTGTTTGTAAGTGTGAGTGCGTGTAAGTGTAAGTGTGTGTGAAGGTGTGTGGGTGTGTGCGAAAGTGTGTTGGTAACAGTGTGTGTGTGTAAGTGTGTGTGTATGTGCGTGCGCGTGTGAGTGTGAGTGTGTCAGTTTGTGTCTGTGTAAGCGTTCAAGTGTTTGTGAGTGTGTGTAAGTGTGAGTGCTGGTGGATGCGTGTGTAAGTGCGAATGAATGTGTGCCGCTGCGTGTAAGTGAGTAATTGTGTGTAAGTGTATATGTATGCGTTTGTAAATACGTGTGCGTTAATGTATGTAATTGTGTAAGTGAGTGTGTGTAAGTATGTGTGTGTGTGTAAGTGTGTGTGGGTGCGTTTGTGTGTGTACGTGTGTGTGTGTGTCAGTGTGTGTAAGTGTTTGTAAGTGTGTGTGTGTGTGTGTGTGCGAATGTGCTTTTGTGTAAGACGGTGAATGTGTGTAAGTGTAGGTGTGTGTAATTAGGTGTGTAGGTGTGTGCGCAATTGTGTGTAACAGTGTGTGCGAGTGTGTAAGAATGCGTGTGTTTGTAAGTGCGAGTGTGTGTAACCGTGTGTCTGTGTAAGCGTGTGAGTGTGTGTGTGTGTGTAAATGTGTGTAAGTATGCGTGTGTGGGTGAGTTTTTGTAAGCGTGTGTGTGTGTGTGTGTGCAAGTGTGTGCGTGTGTGTAAATGTGTAAATGTGTGTATGTGCGTGTGTGTGTGTGTGCAACTGTCTGTGTGTATTTGTAAGTGTGTGTGTGTGAATGTGCGTGTAATTGTGTAATCCTGTGTGTGGAAGTGTGAGTGTAAGTGTGCGTGTGTGTAAATGTGTGTAAAAATGTGTGAATGTGTAAGTGTGTGTACGTGTGTGTGTGTGTAAGTTGGGTGTGCGTGTGTGTACGTGTGTATGTGTGTGTGCGAATGTGTAACTGCGTGTGTGTGTGTGTGTGCATGTGTGTGTGTGCGTGTGCAGGGCAGACCGCAGCGCCGGAGCCTGGGGCCGCGGACAGCATTCAGCACGTCACCCTTGCGCCGAATACGAGCGTCGTTTCGCAGACAGGTCAGGAGGCCAGGAGGCAACCACTCACTGCACCGACCTTGCAGAAGTGCTGCAGCAAATTTTTGTGTGGACGTCTGCCGATGCAAAATCCCGTAACGGCGAGCGAAAAACTACGTGAATGGTGCATGGATGTTGTTTAGTCTGCATTCCTGGCAAACAGAAATCCGCGCGAAATTCACCTCGAAATCCGGAACGATATTCTCCGGGGAACTCTGGGCCCATCCTATCGTTTCCCGACTGAAATCCGCTCTGCGATGTTGGCGCGATGACACTCAGCGGTTGCTTCCTAGCCCTTCTGACGAAGACCTCCTAGTGGCACTTGGATGTCTTCGTCGGAAGGGCCAGGGAGAATGAAATTCCATTGGGGACCTCCTACGCCGGATTCGGCCGCGGCTTGTGCGGGACTCCGCGGGATTAGGCCGGATTCAGCGGGATTGAGCCGGATTCCACCGGATTTCGGAACAGGGAAAAGGTCAGGACTTTACCTCCCAGGAGCTACATCCGAACAAGGGCCGCTCCGCAAGCCGGTTCCTGTCGCTCCCGGAACTTGTCGTAAGGAGCACATATGCCCAATGTCGAGGCTCGAAAAGGGAAGGCCTCTTGGGCCTTGGCAGTCTTGGGGCGCCTCGGGTGGATCCAGAGCTGTCTTCGGCTGTCTTTGCGCGAAGTACGGAGAACCTGAAGGTTGTTCGGTCGTGGCTGTCGGAAAGACAAGGGCATATCAGTGTGAGCGGGGTCCTTTCTCATGTTTTTCTGCTGCGGGAAATGGTCTTCCATTGCACGGTTCTGGGGCCGCCCGTCTGGAACGCATTCTATGGTGATTCTGGACTTGCCGTTTCCTCGGTCGGTTTCACTGACCGTGTTTTCGCAGACGACATCAATTTCTGGAAAGAGTCCGACGCTGTGGCCACAAATTCGTCGATCCTCGCTGCGTGCCACGGGTGCCAGACTACTCTTCACATGTGGAGCGCGGCCAACCAGGTGGTTTTTGAGGGGACGAAAGAGAGCATTCACATTTTAGATAAGTGCCGGCCCCACGGAGACGATTTTGAGATCCTCTGCGTGTTCTTCGACCCCAAGCTCTCCATGTACCGTGCCGTCCAAGAATTCACCAGCGAAGCATCTTGGCGGCTGCCGGCACTGCTCTGGTCCAGCAAGCTCTATAGTATTGCAGAGGTCTTCAGATCATTCAAATGCCATGTTGTTACCTTGGACGATGGCGCCGCCACTGCTATCTTTCATGCTGATGCAGTACTGGCTCCCTTCGATGCTCTGCCGGGAGAGTTTTTGCAATCGGTCGGGGTGTCCGACGACCAGGATCTGTGTGAGTACCACATCGCCCCTGGATGTATGAGACGGGATTTGTCTATTTCAGGTTTTTTGCACAAAGTCGCTCACGGCAAGGCTGCCCCTGCGCTCTGCGACCTTCTCCCGTCAATGTCTGGCAACCTCGAGAGCCACGGCTCCGGCGGAGGAAGGCGCTTTCACAACAGAGCGTTCCGTGATACAGTCGAGCCGAGCATGCATCCCATGATGCATCGATCGATGTTTGGTATGGTGTGTACATGTAACCATCTTCCTCAGCATTTCGTCGACTGCCCCTCTGCGAAACAATTCCAGAGAAAGCTACGGTCCACGGCAGTTGAGCCTATCAGGTCAGGCCACTGCGCCTGGCACAATCTTTTCAGCGTGCCTTGCCGCGCTCCGCAGCTACCCCTCGTTCGTGTTTCGGTCCGAGGGTTCGTCGTAGAAGAGCCTGGAACAACAACCTTTCAAAACACCTGGAACAACTGATGCAACATCAATGCTTTCGGCCTCCTCGGGCGATCTTCGTGGTGCTCCTTGGGAGCTCCCTGGCGGCGTTCCAATGGTCTGTGGACTGGTCTTCGGGCGATCTTGAGCGATGGGAAGCGCTCGCCAGCCGTCGATCAAGCGTCTTGGACTAACATGGATGCCGCAAACAGAATTCAACACGCCACCCTCTTGCTGAATTTCGTCCGCACCTCGCCGTGGGCTCAGAAGCCGTCAAGCAGTGTTTTTGGACTTCTGTGATTCCCAGGCCTCTCTTCGCGCGCGTGTCTGCCTGCAGCGTAGGTAACATGATGTCGGGCTCCAGCTTCCCCTCCCGCATCTCGCGGAGCAGCGCCAGAGCTTGCTGCCACTGCTCGCCCTTCCCGCACGCGGTGATCCCAGCGTTGAAGCTGACCAGGGCGGGCCCATGGCCTAGCGGCCACGGGATCTCTCTGAAACTGCTCACGGGGTCTCTGGGGGGGGGGGGGTCCCAGCACCGTGTGGTGACAGACCAGGCGGTGACCTCGAAACCTGCAGAGACCTCGCCGACGGGTCCGTCACCACAATGTTTTGGGGCCTCGGAGGCCCCAGCCGCCCGAGAGAGGAGGAGGAGGAGGAGGAGGAGGAGGAGGAGGAGGAGGAGGAGGAGGAGGAGGAGGAGGAGGAGGACCCGAGTCCCAAAACCGCGCGGAGACTCCGAGTCCTCATCGACTCGCCATGCGCTGCGGTCATCACGCCGTTTGGGGGCCCCCGAGTCGGGGGGGGGGCAGGTTGCCAACACGGCAGACCGAAGTGACCGGCATTTCCGCTGGTGTCGGAGGAGGGCTAGTGGAGACAGGGGGCGCCCTCGTGGCCTTCGGGGGGGGGGCCCTCGTCATCGCGGTCGAACGCGGCTGGGAAAGCTGGCGAGCTTGAACAAGAAGGGCCCAGGGACACGCAAATCCCAGGATTCCCCAGATGTTCCAATCTGCTTTCTGGGTTGTCGACTTCCACCCCACCCCGATGTTCCCATATTCTCCGGGGAATCGACGGTGAAGTGTGCCTGTGTGTGTGTTTGTTTTTCCCCTCCTGATGAACCTTGGGAGGAGTCCAGGGGCCCGACTGGAGCGGATTCGGGCTGGGCGGCAGGGCCGCCATTGCCGGACCGCTGTTTAACTAGCCAGACAAGAACCCCTGAGCCTTTGGGAGGAGACCTCGGTCAGGAGGGCCGAAAAACATTAGGGATAGGGGGGCTCTTCTGCAGATGTGTCAGATAACATGTATTGCGTGCTATGAAAGATCCCTGATGTGTTATGTACTAGGTAGTGTGTATGATGTATGGTATACGTTTGTTGCACAGATGTATGATGCAAGATCCTTCATGCGAACGCGGGGACCTCAATGCGGCCGTGTCTGCATCGTGCTATCAATTCTCGGAGATCTTTGTGCTCGACGACTGCTGGCCGCTCCCCACACGACCTCCTGCGCGCGGATGGGCCGCCAGCGCCGCGCCCGTAGCGTGCTCGCTGGCCCCGGCATGTGGCCAAGGCCAGGTGGAGGGCTCCTCCTCCTCCTCCTCCTTCTCCTCCTCCCACTCCTCTTCCGCCCCCTCCTCCTCCTCCTCCTCAACATCCTCCTCAACATCCTCCTCAACATCCTGCTCAACATCCTGCTTCTCCTCGTCCTCCGCCTCAACATCCTCCTCCTCCTCCTTCTCCTCCTCCTCATCATCATCACCATCCCCCTTGACATCATCTTCAGCATCCTCCTCCTCCTCCTCCTCCTCCTCCTCCTCCTCCTCCTCCTCCTCCTCTGCCTCAGAGGAAGAGGAGAGGGCCTGGGGGGGGGCTCCGAGGCCATTGAGGGAACATGTGGGTCCTGTAGGAGGCCGTTGGGCTGGCGGGCCTCTCTTGGGGGATATCTTGGGAACGTCCCGGAACTATCGCGGGGACCGCTGGTGCTGCGTGGGGCCATCCTGGAGGCCTCTTGGCCAACGTAGGGGGTACGGGAAGCCTGTCATCTGGACCTCCCTTGGGCCAGGACGACGTCTCCCCTCGAGCGAGGCCACGGAGCCACCGTGGCCCAGGGGTGTCGAGTGGACTCTTCAGGCGCGCGTAATGCTCAGTATTGTAATGTAGCTGACGGTGGGTTCCAGCTTCGCCTCCCACATGTCGCCGAGCAGCGCCAGAGCCCGCTGCCACTGCTCGCCCTTCTCGCACGCGCTGATCCCAGCGTTGTAGCTGATGTAGTCGGGCTCCAGCTTCGCCTCCCGCATCTCGCTAAGCAGCGCCAGAGCTCGCTGCCACTGGTCGCCCTTCTCGCACGCACTGATCCCAGCGTTGTAGTTGACACAAATGTGATCCCGTGGATTGCATCTGCGGTGTGCTAAATCTGGACCTTACACACTGTGGGTGATCAGCTCGTCGACGTTGAACAGCTTGGTCCCGAACTCGCAGGGGGAAGGTCTGGAGGGCGATTCTGGGCTATCTTGGAGTGGTCCCTGGAGGGTTCTCGTGGTACCGACGGCTGCGAGAAGCCCATGGTCCAGTCTCGCCGCATCCAAACACAGGAGGAAGAGGAGGAGGAGGAGGAGGAGGAGGAGGAGGAGGAGGAGGAGGAGGAAAGGAGGAACGCAGTTCTGGAGAGGGGGGGTGGGCTGCAGGCTTCGAAAGGAGGAAGCCGAGGCAAAGAAGACAGGAGACGGTCCCTCCTTTCACCCCTGACCGGCGGGAGGGGGCTCGAGACGTGCTGGGGTGCCTCCGTGGGCAATCCCTGGTCTGGAACAGCTCGCAGAGCTCTCTTGGGCCACTGTGCGTCCCTCTCAAAACCAGACAAAAAAACCTCCACGACCATCATGGGGCCCTGGTAGGGGTCTGGGGCCGTGTTGGAACTCGTTTTGGGCCCTCTTGGGCAACTCCTCGGGCGTCTCAGGGGGCCACCTGAAGCTCGATGAAGCCGCCTGGTGCCAGTCTTGGTGGGCGTGGGGCCTTCTTGGGCCGTCTTGGTGCGCCCGTCCGGGCCACTCGATGAGGAGGAGGAGGAGGAGGAGGAGGATGAGGATGAGGAGGAGGAGGAGGGGGAGGAGGAGGAGGAGGAGGAGGAACGCCTTTCTGGCCCCGGGCCCCCGCGCCGTACGCGCGCCCGGCCCGCAGGGGTGCTGGCCTTAGCGCGCAAGTCCCAGGCCCGCGCGGGATCCCCTGAAGCGGAGCATCCACGATTGCAAAATCAACCACCAGAAAATGGCCAACTGCGACTACCGCATTACCAACCAGGGGATCGTTAAGCGCGACGACTGTGTTACCCACCGTGGCTGCGTACGGAGCCCCACCGAAGGCCGCAGTGGCAGGGTCCGCATGCAATTCCACCCTCCATGTCGGCGCACCCCTCATACGCTTCGCGGCTCCATAGGAAGCTCCACCGAAGGCCCCTGTGGCACAGGCCGCATGCAGTTCCACCCCTCATTTCGGCGCAACCCTCACACGGTTCCTGGCTTTATGGGGAGCTTCACCGAAGGCCCCTGTGGCACAGGCCGCATGCAGTTCCACCCCCCATGTCGGTGCACCCTTCACACGCTTCGTGGCTGCATACGGAGTATCACCGAAGGCCGCAGTGGCAGGGTCCGCATGCAGTGCCACCCTCCATTTCGGCGAAGATGGTGCTCACAACTGCGGTACACGTCCCAGAAGGGCCAGGGACCTCTGAACCTTCTGAGACGCCCCCCCCCCCGCTCGCCGCCGACTCTTGGTAGGCCCCAGGGACCCTGAGGGCGCTGAGGTCGCTCCAGGCAGCTCCAGGGCGCTTCGGGCGCCCGGGGGCAGCTTTTTCACTTCGAGGTCTTTTCGCATGCGCAACGCCCAGCAGAATGGGGCTGACCCGTGGACGACCGTCCACGAATACCACTGGTCAGAGTGCGCGTGCTGCTGCTCATTGTTTCAGGGTGCGCTGTTCGCTTAATGAGTCTGGCGGCGTCCAGAGCAGCGCCAGTAGTATCAGCGGCAGCAGATCTAAGCGGGATGGGCAGTGGCAACAGCAGTAGCACCAGCTACAGCAGCAACAGCAGCAGTGCGCGGCTCCAGTAGCAGCGGCAGCAGCTACAGCAGCAACAGTAGGAGCGCCTGTGGCGTAGGCGAGCGACGACGAAGAGGAGGAGGAGGAGGAGGCGCAAGATGATTGCAACAAGCCAAACCGAATGCCTCTTCGGAACACGCTCCGCAAGTCGCAGAGACAGCGTTCACGGGTGTCCACGGCTGGATCAGACAGCTATTTTCTGAAACCCCCGCCGCGCGAGACTTGTCCCAAGAGGTGAGGGGTGTGCGTTTTGTTCAAGAATCATATGATGCTTACTCGGAGCTTATCGGGACCGTTTGCAGGGAACTGTTTGGAGGCCTTTTCGGGAGCCTGTGGAGTGCGTTTTTTCCATCCGTTGGGGCCTTCTAGGGGGATGTCAGAGCCTGTTCGAGGGAGCTGCGGGAAGCTCTCTGGGAGCCTCTGCGGAGTGTCCCGGAGGCCGTCTCGGAGCTGGCTGTGGGGGGGCGATCGGGGGGGAGCGCTCCAGAGTTGGCCATGTTGGACCTCCCTAGGGCCGTCTTGGGGGCTGTACGGCCGTCTTGGGGGTCCGTGGAGCCGTTTTGAGGGTCTCCAGGGCCGTCGTGGGGGCGCTCTTGGAAGCTCCCCGGGCGCCCTCTGGACGATTTGGGAGGCTTCTCGGGGCGGGTCGGGCGTCTTGTGGCCGGAGAAGCGATTGTAAGAGGAAGTCTGAAAAAAGGCTTGTGAATACCGATAGCTGTCCGACTTCGTGGCCCTCTCGGAGGCCATAGAGCACACGCCAGACCCCCGACGCCATGATTTGTTCACGACGTCGACCCCCAAAGGTCTCGACCCACTTCCCCGGGACCGGTTTTTCATCCTGAGTCGTTTTTGTCACGGTCCCGAGGCCCGGTAAGGGCCCCCCGATGCGTTTTTTTTCGTTTTGATATAAAAAAAAAACTCCCCTCGCGGCTTCTTCGTGACTCGAGGGGGTCTGGGAAGCAGGAGCCTCGTGGAACCCGCTGGGAGCCTCCTGGGGCAGTCTGGGAGCCCTCCTGCGCTGCAGCCGGGGGCGCTCCCGGGGGGCCCTGTCGGGCCACGCGCGCCGGGCCCTTCCTCTCGGGGCAGGCCGGCCGCGCCCCCCCCCCGGGGAGCAGGGCCGCGGAGGCGCCGCGGCACGGCGGAGAGAGCTGGTGGGCCCCGCGGGCACGCGCCGTGCCAGGCGTGGTGAGGTGAGGTGGTGGGTCAGAGGATGCGGGGCCCGCCTTCCACCACCACCACCAGACGTTGGAGGAGGAGGAGGAGGAGGAGGAGGAGGAGGAGGAGGAGGAGGGGGGGAGGGGAGGAGGAGGAGGAGGAGGAGGGGGGAGGAGGAGGAGGAGGGGGAGGAGGAGGAGGGGAGGAG